GTTAGTTATTAATATATTCACATGCAGTCAAATTTGAGGAATACACTTTTTGCTAAGAAGATAAGGAAAAATGTGAAAGTTGCAGTCTTTATGAATTTATTTTAATTCAGTAACTAAACATAGGAAATCATGAATTTATTTCAAAGTAATTTTTTCATATTTTAGTTTGAAGGCATTTTTCCTAGTTTCTAACATAATTTTAGTATTATTGTTAGATAATTACAGTCTTTAAAGCAAAGCATTTGCTACTCTTAAGTATACATATATTGACTCTAAAAGTTAGTATTTTAGAAGTATAGTCAGGTATAGTAGCGAACACCTTTAATCCCAGCACTTGGGAGGCAGAGGCAGGCGATTGAGGCCAGCCTAGTCTTCATAGGGAATTCTGGGCCAGCTGGGGTTACAGGGAGACCCTGTCTCATAAACAACAACAACAACAAAAAAGTTTCCTGATACTAGGGAGTTTTGTTAGTTATTACCATAAATTTTAAAATAATTTGTCAAGGCATCTTCTTTGGAACTGGATACTTTTTGACATCGCTGATGTTGGTGAGGTGCCTTATTTATTAGTTGACTGGGTATGGACTTCTTTTTAAATTGAAGCTGATTGTATGATCTAGTTTTTTTTTTCTTCTGTTTATTTGAATTTGAGTGGAGTCTTTTGGAGGGTTGTCAGAATTGTTTGCATCACAAGTAGGTAGCTTCAGTAGCAGGGTAGAGGCACTCATTATGGAACAAATTTCAATTCGCACATATTGTTTTTTTCTTTTTCTTTTTTTTGACTAATTTGGTTATTTGCCATTTCTGGGGATTAAACTTTAAAAAATGTTCTTCTTTTCTGTATCTGATGTTCTGTGTGCTATTAGTGATGCAGCCAACACGAACGGTTGTCATGTGTAACACAACTTTCGATCACCGCGAAAACACCGTCCTGGGAAAGCGTCCATGCTTGATATCGTTTGGTTCATGAACATTAAGTTTCCAGTACAGGTGACCCATAGCTCAAAGTGTTAAATAATTGTCTACATTATTCAGTTTTTAAAATAATATTCCATTAATGAGATTGTTAGTCTTTGAAGTTTTGCTCACTTTTATTTTTCCTAATAGAGCAGGATAAAAGGAAAGACTTATATTCTTATTTATTTCTTTATATGGATCTGATAGATAGATTCATTTATTATTATTATTATTTTTTAAGTGCTAGGGCAATTGTAAAATCATAGTGTAAAGTTGGTGTGGTGTTTCTGCTTTTTGTAATGTGCAGAACTTGCCTCTGCAGGTAAAATTCCAGAGGAAGCCAAAGCCCTTTCTTTATTGGCTCCTGCTCCAACCATGACAAGTCTGGTACCTGGTGCAGGATTGCTTCCCATACCAACCTCAAGTCCGTTGACAACAGTAAGTAGTGTAAAGCCTCTTGTGAGAGGTGTGAACACTGAGCTGTGTAAACAGTTGAGTAAAGACCATACATCATTTCCACTTTGGACATGTTATTTTTATTTTGTTTTGGTGGCAAGGATTCCAAGTCTGAACTTAATTTCCCCCATGTTATCATACTTGAGCTGCCTTTTGGGATTACTATTGAAATAACTGGGGATTCATTTAAATTTGAGGACTCAGATTATTCATTAGAATACCCAGATACTTAAATTCAATGTTTTAGATAGCACAGAGAATTGGAGGCTCTAGATAACCTTAAGATGGGCTAAGTCCATTTTAAAAATGAGACGACCCACAGCATGGGTAATAGGAGAAAGTATTTTAGAGAAGTATTTACCTATAACCCAATAAAATGAAACAGTGAAAACATGGCAAAAGATTTTGTCTTTTAAATTTTCTGTGGAGAATTAAAGAATGATTAATTCTTCTTGTGATTTCTAAGTAGGAAAAAAAACCAGAACCATTACTGGGTTTTATATGAAAGATTCTGGTCATACTCATTTTAAGGAGGGACCATTCTTAAAAAATAAACAAACTAAATTTATACTGTACCATGATTTGACTTTGAACCTAACTTTCTGGTGTTTATGAGAATAAACAAATCTTGTGATTATAGTGCATAATTTGTTCAGATTATAAAAGCAGTTTCTGAAATCTTGAAGTGCAAACATTTAGGTCTTTCAGAACTTGTATAGCATTGCTCTGCTGGAGACTTCACTGTGATCCATGGAGGGAAATGATTTTAATTGAACTTTGTGTTTGAAGAACCATTGCTGCTCAGTGTGACTGAGGCATAATGAAGGGAGAGGGGTGGGTGTTTGAGATTGGAGGGGTGGGTAGGACACTGACTTTACAGGGTTTTTTAGATCACAGAAAGGTGCTTGAATTTATCTTTAAAGTAATTAGAACCTGTAGCATTTCGCCTGTTTGGGGAAGATAAGACTGGCTGCTGTGACAAGCTAGTGACAGTTGTTCTGTAATCTTGTTTTTTCACCTTTGGGATATGCCAGTTTTTAACAGCTATTAAATTTTTACAATATATTTGCACATATTGTCCAGGATCACTTCTCTGGAGTAACATAAGTAGAATTGAAAAGTGGCTATGTTCCCTCTCCCCACCTTGCAAAAATCTTTGTTAGTGCTGGAAAGTGTTATCATTTTCCAATTCTGAGATATTCTCTCTTTTCTAGTTTAAATTCACTTTAAAAATAGTATGTCTCAACATGTGCACTGACAGTTGAATTACTAATTCAGTGGGGGGCTGGAGAGACAGCTCAGCAGCTAAGAGCCTGTACTGCTCTTACAGAGGACCCAGATTGGGTTCCCAGCACCCACATCACGTGTCTCACATCTGCCTGTAACTCCAGTTTCAGGGGATCTGACACCCTCATCTGGTCTCCATGGGCACTTGCATATGTGTTGCAGATCAATGTACACAGGTCCACACATTATCTTAAAAATTTAAGGGCTGGAGCGATGGCTCAGTGGGTAAGAGCACTGCCTGCTCTTACAGAGGACCTAGGTTTGGCTCTCAGCATCCACATGGCACTTACATACATGTATGCAGGTAATATTAGCTCATACACATAAAATAAAAATAATAAATAATAATATAATATAATATTTTTAAAATTTGTCCTTTTCCTGCCATTGCATAAGTATTATCATACTAGTCTAGATTTTTCTTAAACTGTTGTCTATTTCAACTTTAGTTTGTGCTGATGCTTTGCCTTTACCACTTGGTAGTTGAATAGCTTTGGCTAGATCATTTATTTTTTCTTTTTTCCTTCTCTTTCCTTTTTGAGACAAGGTCTCATATAACCCAGGCTGCCTTTGAACTTGATACTTAGCGAAGAGAATAACCTTGAACTCTTGATAATCCTGCCTTCACCTCCCAAGTGTTGGGATTACAGGTGTGTGCCACCATGCCTGGCTTACAAATTTTTTCTTAGTTTGTAAAATTAGCTTTAGTAATCCAATCTCTTAGGGTTGATTGCACGGAATAAGTTAATAATTCAATAAAATGGTATTCTGTTGGGGCTGGAGAGATGGCTCAGTGGTTAAGAGTATTGACTGCTCTTACAGAGGACCTGGGTTCAGTTCCCAGCACCCACATGATGGCTAACAACCATCCCTGACTCTAGTTCTAGGGGATCCAACGCCCTCTTCTGACCTCCATGGACATTGCATGCATGGATGCACTTATACACATGCAGGGAAAACAGTTATATATACAAAAATAAAAAAATATAAAATATTTTGATATGGGATGCTCTGATAATGATCAGGAACTTAATCAGTTGATGTTTTTGAGTGACCAAAGTACAAGTACAAAAATTTTTGAGACCTTCAAATACCTGTTTGCAATAGACATACAGAGAAATAAAAAATTTGAGTCATTCATTGTACACTTTCCCAGTAGTTTGTGCCTTCTCGTTTGAGTACACATGGTGCAAGTGAGTATAATTTGTAGTTTGTTTCTGCCATGTCCTTTGACAGTTTGTTCTTTTTTGTGGGTGATTTTGCTCTTTAGATAGGTCCCCATTCATAGTGCTAAAAACAAGCATGGGTAGTCTGGTGTGCCTAATGAATGTGCACTTGTTAGATAAACTTAAGAGTTGTATTGCTGACCGTGTGTTCAGTGTTAATGTATCAGCATGTATTAACTACCAGGTTTCAAACAGAAGCACACAATAGCAAGATCTAAATGCTTGATGGAAATAGTGTGATTAGAGTCTCTCAGGAACTTAGCCTACGTCTAGGTAAATTGGTTCAGTGTACAGTAACATTGTTTATGGAAACTTAACCGAATGGGCTACCGTGAATAATGAAAAGCAACTGTTCATTTTTAGTATCCTGTTTAAAAGTAGTTAAGATACCCAGTTGGTTAAGAAAGGTTTCAATTATGTTGACATGTAATGTGACCCTACTCTCTCAATAATTCAGATACAGTGCTTACTTTGGCAGCACATACACTAAAATTGGGATGATACAGAGATTAGCACGGCCCGTGCACAGGGATGACGCAAAAATTTTTGAAGCCTTCCATATTTTTACATTGAATTGGGTGGGGTGGGAGAGGTGCAAATGGATGAGGGGGATCTAATACTATCAAATTACATTGTATGAAAATCACAGAAATTCAGTTAAAAATTAAAAAGAAACAAATTCGGATATACGTGGCTTAAAGCAAAGAGCCCTTAGTCTACCTCCAATCATGTTGAGTTAATCTAATTGTAGCCAGATTGGAGAACAGTGATTTTTGGATACTGATAAAAATGCTTTGTGTTTTACTTTTGATTTTCCTTTAGCTTGGTGTTTCACTTAGCAGCTTGGGAGCTATACCAGCAGCAGCATTAGACCCTAATATTACAACACTTGGAGAGATCCCACAGCCACCACTTATGGGAAACGTGGACCCTTCCAAAATTGATGAAATTAGGAGAACAGTCTATGTTGGAAATTTGAATTCCCAGGTAACTAAGAAGAAACTGAGTGGCGGACTCTCTTCCTCTTCTTAAACATTCTGTCCGTCTATATAACATTTACTTGATTTTAAAAACTTTATTAGCATATTTTATATAATGGGTTTCATTATGACATTTTCCTACATGTATAATGTGTTTTGATCATTCAGCCCCCATTAGCCTGTCTTCACCCTTCTCACTCCAAACCCTATTCTCTTCCCAACTAGTCTCCCTCTTTCTCTCTCTCTCTCTCTCTCTCTCTCACACTCTTGCTCTCTCCTTACCCCCCCCCTTCTCTCTCTTGTCTCTCTGGTGACCCAGTGAGTGTTTAATCAGTATTGGTTAGAAGAGCATAGGTAAGAGGCTGTTTATGGGAGCACAGGCACCTTACCAGTGGCTACATTATTAAAGAAAATGCCCCCCCCCAGCAACCATTAACTGCCTTATTTACCTGATTTTTTTTTAAAAAAAAGAATGCACTGTATTAAAGTTTCACTCTGCTTCCTCAGACAACAACAGCTGATCAACTACTTGAATTTTTTAAACAAGTTGGAGAAGTGAAGTTTGTGCGGATGGCAGGTGATGAGACTCAGCCAACTCGGTTTGCTTTTGTGGAATTTGCAGACCAAAATTCTGTACCAAGGGCCCTTGCTTTTAATGGAGTTATGTTTGGAGACAGGCCACTGAAGTAAGAAATCCTCAACAAAGCAATTTTAATGATTTTGAAACAATTTTAAAGTGTTTAGTGTAATTAAGGCCCCCCCCCCCTTTAATAGTAATTGGCAATTTGTGAAAGGAAGACTCTGTTAAGTATAAGTGAAATACCTGACATTTTAGCCTTTAAATTCCTAAAAGTTATATTTGAAGACATTTTCTGTTTTTAAGATCTAATTTACTAGTATTTGTGTATCCTACAAACAGCTTTAGGTCTTTTTCTTTCAGTTAGTACGAATCAGGTTTGTTTGTAATGATTCCAGAGTAAGGACAGTTGAACTTGTAGACTCTGTTAAGTATAAGTGAAATACCTGACATTTTAGCCTTTAAATTCCTAAAAGTTATATTTGAAGACATTTTCTGTTTTTAAGATCTAATTTACTAGTATTTGTGTATCCTACAAACAGCTTTAGGTCTTTTTCTTTCAGTTAGTACGAATCAGGTTTGTTTGTAATGATTCCAGAGTAAGGACAGTTGAACTTGTGAATTGAACTACAGTATTTCTTGTTGTAAGAATTTTGGTGAATTTCAAATCCCAGGGAAAAAAATAATGTTGAGTATATAGAAATGTTTTAAACAAGACATGTGACCATTAAGATCTGCCCGTATTGTTGTCTGTAAACCTTGCATGTAGTGTTTCATTCAAATTCTTAAAGCAGTCCTGGTTTTGTTTGGGTTTGATAGGTGAATCTTTTTAATCATATAATTTGATCAAGATTTTACTGTTAAAAGATCCAGTAACTGTTCTTACTTAGTGGGAGCTCAGTCTTCTCTGTGGAAGGGGAAAGATAGACTCAGCAGATTGTGCTTGCGTGTGTGTGTGTGTGTGTGTGTGTCTGTGAGTGACAAAAGTTACCCTCTGTGTGTGTGTGCGCGTGTGTGTGTGTGTGCGTGTGTGTGTGTGTGTGCGTCTGTGAGTGACAAAAGTTATCCTTGCTTGAACGGGGAAGCTTATTAGGTGTTTTTTACCTTTGAAACTGTGTCAGTATTGAATTACGGATGTAATGTAATCAGCTTCCCCTTCATACTGCTGGGGTGCAGGGTTATCAGCAAAATCTTAACAATTTTAAGAGTAGAAACGATCCATTTAACACTGGTGTCAGCATTAGAATTTATTCTAAGGTATGTGTAAAGCACTTGCTACCGTCTATTTGGTTGTTGAATGACATGAGCTAGAGTTTAGTGGTTTTTTTCTCCTTGCCTTTGCCTTGTTTTAGTAAGAAATGATGGTAGGTGGAAAAGAGAGATTAATCTTGGTTTTCTGTGGTTGCTTTTGGCTATTATGTATTTAGCTATATTTCTTTATATGCTGCTGAGATCTCAAATTTATAAGTATGTTTATCATATTAACATTTAATTGTTTCTTGTTTTATAAAATATGGTGTGTGTTTGTGATATGCTAATATTTTTAATTTAGAATAAATCACTCCAACAATGCAATAGTAAAACCTCCTGAGATGACACCTCAGGCTGCAGCTAAGGAGTTAGAAGAAGTCATGAAGCGAGTGCGAGAAGCTCAGTCATTTATCTCAGCAGCCATTGAACCAGGTAAGGCCATGGAGTGTTGTGTAGGCCATAGATAAAGATCATAGAGTCTTAGGATTGGAAGGATTTTAGACATCATATTGCTCAGTTCCTTCGTTTTACAAAGAAGACTGAAACTCAAGAAATAGTAAGTGGCTTTCTTAAAGAAGAACGTAGTACACATCTTTCCCCTAATACTGAATCGAAGCACGTTAGCTTAGGAGCTGTTTATGGTAGTAACAAAATCGGTGTTGAAAAATGACTTGCTGAAAGCAGAGTATGTGAGACTAAAAATGAAAGCATAAATATGTTTAAAATGTTGAAATGAGGCAGGTTTACTTTGCTTCAAAGTTTTAATTTTAAAGCAAGAAAAAGAACATATTATTTAGAAAAAATAAAGATGCTCAGTTTTAGCAGGTTAAAGGAAAAACTAAATTTTCTGTTGCTAAATTCAATTAAAAAATGTCTACATGATTTATCTTTGATCAGATTTACTAAATTAACACTTGGAGTTTAGTTTCAATCCTAACAAAACAAATAGAGAAAGTACGTAACCTCACTGTCAGGAATTGCAGACATGTTTTGATCGTACATTATGGCAGCAACAAAATATTACGAACAGCTGTTTATAATCATCTGGTTTATATGTACTGCTGCAGGATGGCTGCACTCAACGAGTTTATGCAATGACTTTCTTGGATGTTTCTGAAGGATAATTGCACAGGAGGAGGATGTACAGAGAGTAGGCCCCTTGCACTATATGTGGTACATTCCACTTGTGCCTGATTATTAACTGGGATCTTTAGTTGTTCTGAGCTTACACTGCAAAGTGGTTTTTTCCTCCCAGAGTCTGGAAAGAGCAATGAACGAAAAGGCGGTCGATCTCGTTCCCACACTCGTTCAAAGTCCAGGTCTAGCTCAAAATCCCATTCTAGAAGAAAAAGATCACAGTCAAAACACAGGTGAGACTTTCTACTATCATATTTATATTTTTTCTAATATTATTTCAAATAGTTGAGGTGTTGTGAATTTTTGTCAAAGTATCAGAATTCAGAACCATCATTAGTGTTTCCTTGGGAGTGTGGTTACTTAAGTATGGCCCTGATGATAATAACTATAGATAAGAATGAAATTTTGGGCCTGGGCGTGGTAGCACTCGCCTTTAACCCCAGTGTTCAGGAGGCAGAGGCAGGCGGATCTCTGTGAATTTGAGACCAGCCTGATGTAAATAGTGAGTTCCAGGCCAGCTGTAGCTACAGGGAGACCCTGTCTCAAAAAGAACAAACAAACAAAAGGAATGAAATTTGGGCTTCAGGGGTACACCAGTTGATGTCTAGCCTGCTGCCCTCTTGCTGTGTACTCCATTCAAAAATAAAAAGAACTTTTTGTCTACTTTATACTTAAAATTTTAATATTTTAAATAATTTTCAGTTTTGGAAGTTGTTCTGTTTTTTCATTCTATACTTTTGAGAACACACTAATGCTGAAAATAGTGCTCAAGTTGGCAGCTCTTCTGTTTTCTCTTCCCAGTCCACTCTGTAGCCTGAAGTCCAGAGTCATCCTCTTCTTAAGTTCTGTTGGTCCTATTTTTTTTTCATAACTTTGGCATTTTAATTTCTTTTACATGTCATGGCTTTGTGTTTTGTGTAAAGGAGAAGTGTAAACTTGCAACATATCTTGATTTGATTAGCTGTACCTTGAGGATTATGCCTAGGGGTAGTGGGTCCTCATTGCATGCTAACTTTTGTCCTGAGAGAAAACATAGGTATGTGCATGCAGTGTGTTCAAGTGGAGGAAGGATTAGAGAAGGTGGGTTTGAAGGCAAGAGACCAGTGTGCTGTATATCTAACCTCACTGGCAAGCTTAGTCTAGTTTTCTGACCAAGGAGATTCAAAGAACAAAACAGTAAAATAGAGTGTCCTTTCTTTGATTTTGGTAAACCATACTTGTAGTCACTGAGAGGGGTGTACTTCTGTGTTAATAGTTTGCAACATCACCTTTGAAAGGCAAGTTCACAATGAACTGCCTCAAGATGAAGGCCAGCTTGGGCTACATAGTAAGTACTAGGTCAACCAGGGCTACATAGCAAGACCTTGTCTCAAAAAACCAAAGAAACAGTTAAGTACAGCAAGAGCCAGACATGAAGCAAGAAACCAAAATAGATACAGTGATGTACAAGACCAGGGACATTTCCTCATACTGACGGTGTGCTGAGGAGAAAGGAGGTGAGGTGTGCAGGTATGTCAAGGAGTGATAAAAGACTAGTGTCCTGAATCTCATTTTGAATGGTTGGAGAGCCAAACACCCAGGCTAAGAAAAACTAAAATGTGCCAGTTAACATCAGTTTCTTTGATAATTGGGCAAGCTTTACATGCCTTTTGAAATTAGGGCAAATAATTCATTGCTGCTTTACTACTCACTTAAGGTTTTGATTTTAAGTAGTGCATAATTGATGTTTTGTCCATCTAGGAGGTATTAGCTATAAATTGAAATTTGCTAATTATTGTTCTTGATATTTGTGAGAATACTTTCATGTAAATATCAAGAGACTGAGATTGGAAAGCTCTTGGCATGTGTGTCTATACATATACACACATACATGGTTAGCATCTTTTACTTTTATACATGCATGTTGAATACACATAACCTAAACACAAAGAATGAGTTTTTTCTAAAATAGAGTGGTGGTGGGATTCTTTTATTTACTAAAAAACTTAATAGATTATATTTATGGAAGCATAAGTCTTATGGGGCTGGAGAGATGGCTCAATGGTTAAGAGCACTGGCTGCTCTTGCAGAGGACCTGGGTTCAATTCCCAGCACCCACATGGCAGCTAACAACCATCCTTAACTCCAGTTCCAAGGGATCTGACATCTTATTCTGACCTCTATGGACATTGCACGACACAGGTGCACTTACATACATGCAGTCATACACATAAAATATTTACAAACAAAACAAACAAACAACATAAGTCTTAGACTGGGCCTGGTAGTGGTGCATGCCTTTAATCCTAGACTCAGGAGGCAGAAGCAGGCGGTTCTCTGTGAGACTAGGCCAGCCTGGTCTACATAGTGAGTTCCATACCAGCTGGGGCTCCTGGGAGACCCTGTCTCAAAACGAAAAGCAGAAACTTAATATTTAATGGATTTTGACCTGGAAGAACTTTCTGCCTCTGTTCTGTAGCAGTCAGGGAGTTGACAGGGCTTCTCTCAGCATCCTCTCTGCTGCCTGGGGTGGCCAGTGTTCTTAGGTCTTGCTGCTACCCACTAGACTAGCTGGCCAGTGGAGATTATAGCTGCAGATTTTTGTAGAGTTCTGCTTTTCAGGCAGAAAACCATTCATTTGCAGGAGCTTAAAAAGTTGCTCTCTTGGGGATGGAGGGATGACTCAGTGGTTACGAACACCGACTGTTCTTGCAGAAGACCGGGGTTCGAATCCCAGCACCCACATGGCAGCTAACAACTGTCCGTAACTCCAGTTCCAGGGGATCCGGATCTGACAGCTTCTTTTGTCTTCTGCGAGCATTGTATGTCACCAGTGCATTTATTTACACACAGGCAATATACACATCCACATAAAAATAATAAATAAAACATTAAAAAAAATTTGCTCTCATGAAAGTCAAGTTGAATTCTGATCCATTCTGGGGAACGGGAGCAGAAGAGGTTGGGTAATAGGTGCCAAAGTACAGTTAAGTTGGAATAAGTTCTCTTGTTCTACAGCACAGTAGGATGAGTATAGTTTACAACAATTTACTATGTATTTTAGAAAGAAGTTCGCAGTAAAAAGAAATGAACATGTTTAACAAGAAGGGTGCTAAGTTGGACTGATTTTGATTACCACATTTTACATGTTCAGAATTAGCCACTGTATCCTATAAGCATATACGCTGATGTGTTAATTTTAAAAGTGTGATAAGAATCATGCTTCCCCTAGTTTGTCTCTCACTCCCCTTTCCATGCTCCTCCCCTCAGGAGAGAAGGAATGACTGTCCTTGGCTCTAGGACCTGGGAGATAAATTTCTACTTTGTTCAAGTTTTTGATACTTGTTTTAGTCACACAGAGAGTGTTAGAAAGGGAGGACAGTACTATAATTATATTTTGAAGTTAAATAACCTTTACAGATGAGCACAGAAACTATAAGACATTTTATAGTATGTTAATGAAGAACAACTGATTTACAATTAAAACTTTGATGCAACATGATGGTAAGTTGCTATATATTAACCATTTAATTAAAAAATATTTTCGACTCAATAGACAAGCAGTTAATTGAAGATGTGCTTAAAAACAAGATTTCATTGGTAATTGAGGATTGTCTGGGGGTATTTCTGGTCTCATAGCATACATACCTCAAGCATGTTTTTAAAAATACTTATTTTGGGGGGCTGGGGAGATGGCTCAGCTCTGCTCTTGCAGAGGACCCGGGTTTAAGTCCCAGCACCCACATGGCCTCTATGAACCATCCTTAACTCCAGTTCCAGGGGAATCCAAAACCCTCTTCTGACTTCTGCAGCATTGCACGACACGGGTGCACTCACATACATGGAGACAATACAGTCATACACATAAAATAAAAATAAATAAAATGTTAAAAAACATACTTATTTAGGAGGCTGGAGAAATGGCTCCGCAGTTAAGAACACTGTTCTTACAGAAGACCGGAGTTTGAATCCTAGCACCTACATGGCAGCTAACTGTCTGTAATTCCAGTTCCGGGGGATCCGATAGCCTCTTTTGTCTTCTTCAGGCACTGCACAACACGGGTGCGCTCACCTACACGCAGGCAATACACACAAACACATAAAATAAAAATAAAACATTAAAAAAATAGTTATTTTGTAGGTATTTGTTGTAATTTGGTTTGTTAAAACGTGACCATTAGTGGGGCTGGCAAGATGGCTCATTGGGTAAAGGTACTTATCACCAAGCTGGCAACCTGAGTTTGATCCCTAGAACTCATGTGGTGAAAGGCAAAACCTCCTGCAAGTTGTCCTCTTACCTTGTAGCACTTAATAAGTGAATGTAATTTTTTACAAAAACCATGATGATCAAGATGAATTTTGGTTCTATAAGACGTACTGTGGAAAGTTCAGTTGGCCTCTTTAAATAGATATGACTGGAAGTTTATCTGTATGTTAATTTAATGATGCCAGTCCTGAGACTTGAAAGCTTTAAACATATACTCTGTGCCAGAGATTACAAGGCAGTTTTACATACATTATATAGTTGAATCCGTATGACAACCTTAAGGAACGTAGGTGGGATATTTACTGTACTTTCTGGATAAAGAAACACAGGCTTATAATGTAGGTTAGGGACGTAGCCAGAGCTCATAGCAAGTGTGGGACAGAGGTGCGTTTCAGAGTGACATTGTCAGACTCAAAGCCACTCTGTCCATCATTTTGCTACATTTTAAATGAAACTTTTTTTTTCCTTCTAGTGTTGGGACTCAAACCGGTAGCCTTGTTTAGAAAACCAGTTATTTCAGTGGGGCCTAGTCAGAATTGAAATAACATTTGTTTTTATTCCAAAAAACAAAGTAATAAAACCTTCTTTTACTAGCTGGTTAATTATAATTAGAGCTGTAAAATGAAGGTGGTGCACATCTGATGCTTGACTCTCTAGTTTTACCTCATTCTTTAATTTTCCCGTCACACTGCCCTTATAGGTTCATTTAAAACATTATTAACTTGTTCTCTGACAACTTTATACACGACTATAATGCATTATGGCTACTCACCCCCTGCCCTCTCTTGTCTCTCTCACTCCTAATACATTCTTAATGTTTGTTGTAACACGCAGTACATGACCATTTATAGAAGCTGTTGAACTGTATAACCTACCTCCCATCAAGATGAGTCACAACCAGCTTACAAGGAAGTCAAGTATTAGAGACAGTTTGTGATGTGAAAACTTGGGCCAGTGGAAAAATCTTCAAGTTTGAGGCATGTGATAATTTGATGAAAAGAAAATTAGACCAAAAATAGCACCTTAAGCCTGGCAAAGAAAATAGGTATTAAATTCTTTCTGTTTTGTCTTGTAAACTGTGAAATATGTGGTAAGGTTTCCAATAAGTAAATTTAATTTCTGGTATTATAATTAGAACATTATATAAGGTATAATTTAAACTATTGATAAATTCTGTTAGGATAGATTTTTAAGTTACCTTATTTGAAAACTTCTTCGTTACAATTGAAATTCTAAGAATATGTTTTGATTTCCTCACAATTTGTTTTTCTTCAGGAGTAGATCCCATAACAGGTCACGTTCAAGACAAAAAGATAGACGAAGATCTAAAAGCCCGCATAAAAAACGCTCTAAATCTAGGGAGAGGCGAAAGTCGAGGAGTCGTTCACATTCACGGTGCGTTTCAGAGAAATTATGAATAATTTTTTCATTGATTTCACTTAATCAAAATTGTGATTTAGGTTTATCATGAGAGAAATGGAATTTTCTGATTGCTTTAGTAATTTAATGTAAATATTGTCACTGTAAATATGATGGTCAGCGTGACTCAGCTCAGCCTAGTGATCGTTCCACGTAGCAGCTGTACACCTGAGTTATGCAGAAACTTATAATACTGTTTGTAGTCATTGCAGATTATTTTGTGCTGGTAGTTGGTAGGGAAAGAGGTAGGTAGTCCCTTTTTTGAGATATAATTATTTTAGTTAAGAATTTACTTCTGTTTGCTTTTCAAGGGACAAGAGAAAAGATACCAGAGAAAAGGTCAAGGAAAAAGAAAGAGTGAAGGAGAGAGAGAGGGAGAAGGAACGTGACAAAGAGAAGGAACGGGGCAAAAACAAAGAGAAAGAGAGAGAGAAAGAGCGCGAGAAGGACAAAGAGAGAGAGAGAGAGCGGGAGAAAGAGCACGAAAAGGAGCAAGACAAAGAGAAGGAACGAGAAAAGGACAGACCCAAAGAGTTCGATGAAAGAAGGAAAAAGGGGAAAAAGTCCAGAACGCCACCCAGAAGTTACAATGCATCAAGAAGATCTCGTAGTGCCAGCAGGTTTGATAGCATGGAACCATCTGTGTGTGTGCATACGTGCATGTGTGTTGTGTCAGTGGAGACAGACAACCTTGGGTATGGTCCTTAGGTGGTGCCTACTTTGATTTCTGTGACCTAGTCTCATTGTCCATAGGCTGACAGTGCGCTCCAGGTGTTCACCTGTCTCCGCCTCCCCAGCATTGGTATTACAAATGCGTAGTACCATGCTCTGCTTACCTCATGTATGGTGCTTTTTTACATGGGTTCTGAGAATTGAACTCAGCTACCATGCTTGCTTGGTAAGTGCTTTACTGATTGAGACGTCACCGAACCCTGCTTAATCTTTTTTTACCAAGGGTTTTACTGACAACAGATAAATGCATCTTTTTTATGTGTGTGAATGCATTTTTAAACTGAAGGGGAAGAGAGTGCTCTGTGCAGTAGAGTAATACCAGAACAGTCCCCCTTAATTGCAAAGTGAGCTGTTCTTCAGCAAAGACATTGCTATACAGCCTTAATGTGGTATTTAAATCTAGCTATTATTATTATTATTATTGTCTTTTTGAGACAGGGTCTCCCTGTAGCCCCAGCTGGCCTGGTACTCACTATGTAGACAGGCTGACGTCGGAACTTAGAGCGCTCTGCCTGTCTCTGCTTCCCAACTGCTGGGATGAAAGGCACGCGCCATCATGCCTGGCTAATCTGGTTTATTATTAGTATAATTTTTTTTTTTTTTTTGGTCTTTTTGAGACAGGGTCTTCCTGCAGTCCCAGCTGGCCTGGAACTCACCATGTAGACCAGGTAGGCCTTGAACTCTTAGAGATCTGCCTGCCTCTGCCTCCCAAGTGCTGGGAATACAGGCCTGTGCCACCACACCCAGCTATTTTTTTTTTTTTTTTTTCTCTTCTTAGTGAATGTCAGGGAAAAGATACCTTTTCATGTAAAAATGGCCCTTTTAGACTTTGGCATGTAAATCTTAATGACGATGTGTTTTCTAAAGTATCAGTGGGAGTCCTTTCTGCATCTAAGTTAATTTTTACTTCCCTGTTAATAGTCTGTGTATGACATTTGATTTTTGCTTCTCCTTTTGTTATTTTAGGGATTGGATTTTTTTTCTCTTAGGACTATTGGTTCCACTTATTAATAGGTACACTGCCACCAGGTGGCAGCACGTTGCCATAGTAACAGCCACAAAATGACAATCTTCAAGGTTATCTAAAACCTACATTTTTGTGCTGTGACTAAACGAATAGAAGTTCCTAACTTGTGTTTAACTTAACTTTCAAAAGTATTTAAGAATAAATTGTTTCAAAAAATTTTAAAGGTGATTTTTCATAGCACACAGTTTGAAATAACTTAAAAACTTTTGTGCTTTTATAGTTTATTTTTAGTGCTAGCTTTTGACCAGTAGTAAAAAATAGTTGCAGGTGCTTTAGGTGCTGTTGTTTCTGTGTGCCAGATGCTGGTTCTTAGCTGACTTTTTCATGTCCCACCCTCTTTAAGTCTCATTACAGCCTTGTGAGACTGTTACCACTGTTTTAAAGAGAAAAGTTTCCATAAGTTTGAAATTTTTCTAACCAGCATTTGGTATCTACATGTAAAAACTGCATCAGAAGTGTTGGACATGCCCTTATGTTTATGTACCATTAAGACACTGCTCCATGGTACAAAATGATTTGATTCCTTTTTTGTAACTTGAATTTATTTTTACTGATGACTTTGAAATGTTTATTGGCTCTTTTAAGTTGCTTTATCTTTAAGGAAGTTAAAATGTTCACACTGGGTCCTAAACACGTTCTTAAATGACCTCTGGAGCCTGGAGACTAAAAGGTGACTAACATAAAGAAACAGTGAACTTTACCATGTCCACAAGAGATGAGACATGAGAATGTATTTTGTGAATGTCTAATATATGCAGTTCCTGAATTCTGATCATAGGTAAGGTCTTTATTCATCAGCAGTTAGTTTCTCATCTCTCAGTCCCTCTTCTCAATCTGATTTGTTTATTGAATGGGCAGTATTCTCACTCTTCAAAAAAAGTGTTCTTTGAACCTTTTATTTTCAGTATTGTCTCCTATATTTTCAAAAACTTGAATACTTGGAAAATGTTTAATGCTTAAAATTACTATCAAGAAAGGGAAGGGAAGGCTGAGAGACTGTAGCTCAATTCTTTCCTAGCATGTGTGAGGTCCTGGGTTTGATTTCCCCCAGTTTTGTACCCCCCCCAAAAAAAAAATTGGGAAAGTCTGTATTGAGCATGTCTGTGCCAGGCTCTGTTCTTGACACTTTACAGGTGTCCTCTAGCTCTATAACAACTCGTCAACTCTTGGGTTATTGTCTGGGGTTTTGTTTGGTTCCAGTTGAAAAGCCAGATTCAGGTTAAACAGATTCAGGTTAAACAGTATTTGTGGTCTCAGAGCTCTTTAGCTTTTTTGACCCTTTAAAACTAATACCATAGCTGGGTGTGGTTGTGTACACCATTAAAGCCCAGCACTCAGAAGGCAGAAACAGGAGGATCTCTGTGAGATAAAGGCCAGCCTGGTCTGCATAGTGAGTTCAGGCCAGCTGGAACTGTCTCAGAAGAGCAAAAACAAAACAAAAGCTATCATATAAACAACAAATAATGCAGGCGTTAGTTTTTAATTTTACAAGTGAAAAATTAAAGCAATAGTAAGAACTTAAATTTCAGAGGATTGGTGTTTGAGGTATGTTATCAGTGATTATCAGAACTGCTGCTCTGTGTGTGTGTGCACATGTGTGTGTGTGTGTTTGTGTATGTGCAAACATGTGCCTCTAGTTGTGTGCTCCCATGTATGCACATGTGCAGATCATAGTTCAGTGTTGGTTGCCTTCCTCTATTTCCACCTTATTTTTTTTATTATTTTATTTTATGTCTGTGGGTATATTGCCTGCATGTATGTAAGTGCACTGGTATTGTACAGAGCCTGTGGAGGTCAAAGAGGGTGGTGGGTCCCCCAGAACTGGAGTTATGGATGGTTGTTAGCCACCATGTGGGTGCTGGGAACCTAACCTGGGTCCTCTGCGAGAGCAGCCAGTGCTCTTAACCGCTGCCATCTCTCTAGTCCCCTAAGTTGACCCATTTGTAAATACAAAGTAGTTTAGAGTATATATTATTTTTTACTGTTATAGGGTTGGTTTTTTTTTTTTTTTTTTTTTTTTTTTTTTTTGAGACAGGGTCTCCCTGTAGCGCCAGCTGGCCTGGAACTCACTATATAGACCAGGCTCACCTTGAACTCACAGAGCTCCACCTGCCTCTGTCTCCCGAGTGCTGGGACTAAAGGCGTGCGCCACCACGCCCAGCCATTAAAATAGTTTTTAATGAACACCACTAATCTCTTTGGTAATTATTTCCTTGCTACATCTAAATCTAAGATTTTAACTATTATATAAGTTTGTGCATTTAATTTTAAATTGCTAGGAGTGGAGAGATGGCTCAGTGGTTAAGAGCACTGGCTGCCCTTGCAGATGATCCAGATCCAGTTCTCAACACACACATGGCAGCTAACAACCATCCATAACTCCAATTCCAGAGGATCTGATGCCCTTTTCTGACCTCTGAGGACACTGCAATGCATCACACAAGTGCACTTCCATACATGTTGGCAATAGACTCATACAAATAAATAAATATTAAGAAATAAATTTCCAGAATAATAAGATAGGAAGTTAGCAGGGAAAACTTTTTCTCTATAAAATGATTTAAATGCCCCTCCTATATTTATCTTGAAGTCTTTACTACTTTGCTAGACTATCATCCACGGTGGGGCAGTGAGGAGCTAAATGCACAACAAAGATCTGACAGGAAAGATTTTAGATGTGAAGAAAGAAGATACTTGAGTTGGAAACTTTTTTTTTTTCTACTAAAAATTGTTCTGATGAAATCCATTAGTATACTAACTGAAGAATTCAAAAGAAAAGTTGGAGTCTTTTAAAAATAAATATGTCAGATGAGAAGGAGGTTGTCCTCTATTTTCTTAGGAAATTTTAGATGATGGATTTGTCATTGTCTAAAATTTATGGTTTACAAATCAATCTTCACTAAAATTGGGTAATAAAACATGTTATTTTAAAGAATTTAAGTTGGCCCCTTGAGGGTCTAGGGAAGTAGCTCAGTAGCAAAGCATTTGCCTATCATATGGGGGGGGGGGCCTGGATTTGATCCCCAGCATTCCTCTACTATTCCCTCCCTCCAAAGTCAAAACTTAAGCTGAACTGATAGCACATACCTGTAATCCTCAACTCTCAAGAATCAGACTGGAGGATCATGAGGTCCACCTTCTCAAAAACCTTAAAAATTTAAATAAACAGAGCTCCTTTACAGGCTGCCCTCACTGGAGCTCTTTTTTCTTAAAATATTTTGTTTATTATTTTTATTTTATGTGTATGAGTGTGTTGCCTGCATGTATGTAAGTGCACCTGTGTCATGCAGTGCCCTTGGATCTCCTGGAATGAATTGGAGTTAGGGGTAGTTGTTAGCCACCATGTGGGTCCTGGGAATCGAGCCCAGGTCCTCTGCAAGAGCAGCCAGTGCTCTTAACTGCTAAATCATCTCTCCAGTTCCTGAAGCTCTCCTTTTGCTTTTATAGCTTTGAATTTACCTTTATCTTGAGACAGGGTCTCATTATGTAGCCCTGACCCAGAATTCACTATGTAGACCAGGCTGGTTTGGAACTCAAAGAGATCTGCCTGCTTCTGCCTCTGCCTTTGCTTCCCAAGTGTTGGGATTAAAAGTGTGGGCCACCATGCCAAGCATCAGTTGCTTTTTTGTTGTTTGACAGGGTCTCCCTAGTCATAGCCCACTTGGAAGTCACGATGTGAGCTGGGGTGGTTTCAGTCTTGCAGAGATCCACCTGTCTCTGCCTCCCGAGGGCTGGGATTAAAGGTGCATGCTACCACGCCCAGAGTGTTTTTTTGTTTTAAAGGACATAATTTTTGTTTTTCAGGGAAAGGCGAAGGAGGAGGAGCAGGAGTTCTTCCAGATCCCCAAGATCATCGAAAACCATAAAAAGGAAATCTTCTAGGTCTCCATCCCCCAGGAGGTAGGTTGAAAGCATTTGTTAAAATGCAAGAGAAAGCAGGAAATTAAAAATAGATTCTGCCTTGATTTAAAGGCAGAATTAATACATTTACATCTTTCAGGACTGATAAAAAATTATTTTGTGTTTAAAACTGTTAACTTCAACCATGTGCTCATACACTCTGTTTATATAGCAATCATCTTGGTTTCTTTCCAGTTTTACAATTAGAACATGAAAATCTGTCATTTTTTTCTTATATAAAAAGTAGCATAAAATATATACTGGTTGTACCCTTTTACCACTTACAGCTTGCAGGATATTTTTCCACATTGGTCAGAGAGAATGTTTCCATGTTTCCATTTCTTTTGTGATTGCCTGGACTTGGTAACAGTACCCTCAACCCCTTCTGCCTTGTTCCCATTTGTTCTCTGTAAATGATCAGCCATTTGTCTGTTTCCTTCTGCAAAATTAGGCAAATACACATTTTCTATTTTTTTTTTTCATAGACAGTACAACATACCCTTGTATATTTGTGTGGTCAATGACTACTTGGATCTCCTTGGTATTTAAGAAAATTGGAATATTAGCTGGGCGTGGTGGCGCATGCCTTGAATCCCAGCCCTTGGGAGGCAGAGGCAGGTGGATCTCTGTGAGTTCAAGGCCAGCCTGGTCTCCATTAGTGAATCCAGGCCAGCTGGGGCTACAGGGAGACCTTGTCTCAAAAAGACCAAAAAAAAAAAGAAAATTGCAATATTATTCACATATTAGAAATGTTATTTAATTTGTATATTTCAATAACTTTTACTACAATCACAATGATTTATAAACATCACTATTTAATTTCAGAACATTTTGTATCACTTCTAAAGGAATCCTCTACTACCTCCAGCCCCTGATAGCCTCTAATCTTACTGTCTCTTTGTCTCTGCTAATTGTGGATATTCTATATGTGGATGTATAATATGTGTTCTTTTCATGAATCAGGATCATTCCTTTCCAATGAATGGAATAATAATTGGGCATATAGATAAACCATGTTTCATTTAGCTGTTGTCAGCGAATAGGCATTTAGCATTGTTTCCATTTCACTTTTAGCATTTTAATACTGATACCATGAAAATTCACATAGAAATTTGTGTGTAGAAATGTTTTCATTTCTCTTGATTGTTCACTGCAGAATGGCAATAGCTATGTCATACATTAATTCTTTTTTGAGGAATTGTTGAAGGATTTTTTATAAAGTGATGGCACCATTTTAGACATCCTCACATTTGTTACTGTCTTTTGATTGTAACTGTTGCAGTGGGTGTTAGTGATATCTTACTGTGGTTTGTGTCGGTATCTCTGTAATGAAGAGTGATGTTAAACATCATTTCATGTGTCTTTGGTCATTATGTGCAGATATGTCTATTCAGTCTTTTGTCCATTTTGAATTGGGTTTTCTTTGGTATTAGTTGTAGTTTTTCATATATTCTGGTATCAGTCCTTACCGGGTAAATGATCTGCATCTACTTCCTCTCTTTCTATGGTTTGTCTCTTCACACTCTTGATGTAGGGTTTTGTTTTCGTTGTTGCTTTGAGATAGGAGCTAGCTGTGCAGTCTTGATCTTGCTATATAGACCAGGCAGACTTTGAACTTGGAGTAATGAACTGTAATGTTTAGGTCTTTCATCTGTTTTTGTTTTGCTGTTAAATTTCAAAGATTGTATTTATTGTGTGTGTATGCATATGTGGTACATATGTGTGCCACAGAGTGCATGTGGAGGTTAGAGGACAACTTGGTGGAGTCACTTCTCTTCTTCTACCATTATGTGGGTTTCAGGAATTGAACTCAGGTGGTCAGGCTCATAGAGCATCCTCCTCTACCCTCTGAGCAATCTCACTGGCCCTTTCATCTATTTTGAGGTTGTTTTTGTATATGGTTTGAAGTAGGGTTCTACCTTCATTCTTTGGCTATGGATATGTTTGTTGAAGACTGTTCTTTCATTATTGAATGGACTTAACATCCTTGAAAATCATTTGACCCTGTATGCAGCAATTTATTCTTGGCTATTGCGTATATATAAATAACATACCCAAAATATTCCTAAGAATTGCACCTTGGGCCCCAGGCATGCCAGGCAAGCACTCAACCACTGTGTCCTTAGTTTTGTTGCAAGTAAATTTTTGGTCTGTTTTCTTTTGAATATGCTAATGGTGTTTTGCTGTTTTGTTTGACATTGTTAAATTTTATATACATAGATTTATAGCTATTTTTGTTTTATGTGCTTGGAGTTTTAGCTGTGGTCAGAAATTCCCTTTCACCCAGAATTCACCCATGTTTTTCTTCTAGTACTTAATCATTTCAATTAAAATAAGTTAGATCTCTAGTCCAATTGGCCCTGTTTCTGTTCTGTGGAATGATACATAGATCATGCTTTATCACCATACAAATGATTATACAGCTGTTTTAAACCTTTTTATTATAAAGGACCATTTTTCCCCAGTGACTTGAAATGTTACCTTGAATCGTACTTTAATCCGCTTCATTTGTTCCATTAGTCTTGTGCTTGTTTTTAAACTACTCAGAAGAGAGCAGTGTTTAGATTTCCATATTTGAGCTGTCTTGACCAGATCAGAAGCCATAGGTTCTCAAATGATAGGCATCATTTTTTGTCTATAATCTTATGAATATATAATTTCATAACAAATGATCCTAACCCGGATCCTTTGCAAGAGTAGTCATCCTTAAGAACTGAACCACCTCTCCAGCTCCCAAAGTTTTTTGTTGTTTTTTTTTGCTTAGTTTTGTGTGTATGTCTGAGTCAATGTACCACATTATGCATGTAGAGTCAGAACGTAACTTGTGGGAGTTGGTTCTCTCCTATGATGTGTCAGGGATCAAACTCATGTCATCAGGCTTAGCGTGTGTTTTTACCCAACTGAGCCATTTCATTGGCCCTTTTTTATTCCCTCTTGAATGTTGCATTGGAAAGGGACATATGAAAATACATAATCACTCCTTGGGGAATTGGGTGCAAGACCTCCTGTAGATTCTAAAAGCCATGTATGATCAACTAGTCCATAAAATGATGTAGTGTTTACATTATCACACCCTTCTCTACACTTTCAGTCAACCTAATACAATGTAAATGCTATGTGAATATTATGCTGTATTAGAGAATTATGACAAGAAAAGTCTGTAAGGATTTGGGGGATAGTTAAATGCAAGAGTCCCCAACCTCAGAATAAAAGCTTGAAAGTAAAGGTGTGACTTTTTTTTTTTCCTACATATTAGTTTGTGGTTGGTTGAATTTGGTTAAGGAGCCCATGAGTATAGGCTGATTATAGTTAGTTTTAACTTACCCTTATTCCAGTAGATAAGTAAATCTGGAGCATTTCAAAATTACTAGATTGGCAGTAATGAATTGTGTTTCCTGGGAACATGTGCTGACTGGTGCAGAAAGGCCTTTCTCTTCAACAGTGACTGAGGCAGAGGGCAGAATAGGTCAGATTGTAGGACCTGTTTTTGTCACTTTGCCAAACTGCTTTACTAGCATGATAATTTATAATGTGTGTGATATCCTATAATAAGGATATTTTGTTACATGTATAGTAGACCTTTAATTTCTTAAAAGTTAACTCTTGTATTTTCAATATTCTTACAGCCGAAATAAGAAAGATAAAAAGAGAGAAAAAGAAAGGGACCACATCAGTGACAGAAGAGAGAGAGAACGTTCCACCTCCACAAAGAAGAGCTCTAATGACAGAGATGGGAAGGAGAAGGTAGAGAAGAACAGTACTTCAGTTAAAGTAAGCAGCTGCAGGCTGAATGCGGCTTGAGGGCAATGGTACATTGTTGGTATTAATATTAAATTTTTAAAAAGATTTATTTTTAATTGTATGTGTGTGGGCATGTGCATAAGTGCAAATGCCCTCAGGCCAGAGGTATTTGATCTCTGTAGAACTGGATTTATGGGCAGTTGTGAGCTGCCTGACACAGGTGCTAGAACCAGATAGGGTCCTCTGAAAGAGCAATACGTGGTCTTAACTGCTGAGCCATCTTTCCAGCCCCTAAAATTTGAAGAGATGAGAACCACTTACAGTTTAAGCAATTTCATTCCTTATTTTGGAGAATCAGTAAATGGCATACAATTAAGAAAATTTATAGAAAAATCTGTAGATAACAAATGTATTAGATGTGTTTATGGTGTTGATTTATGCCTGATGCCATTTTCCTCAGTATACATTTCAGCAAATTTGACAGGACTTTGTTGTCATTGGTTTTGTAGGTTTGTTGATGTGTAATACATAATTAAAAACCACATTCCATCAAGTAAGCTTTTTCTTGGAAATTGTAAATACTTGTGTATTATATCAGTTTCCTCACTGTCTTGTAGTGTATATTTTTATTTGGAAATGTGAGTTCTGGAACTCACATTGTATAGCTTTATTTACTTTGGTACTGATAGTTCATCATCTTTGATGACTTTAGTAATAGTTACTGAGCATGTATTATGTGTCAGGTTTTCTTTGATCTTACTTCTCCATTAAACGGAGGGCAGAATTTAGTCTGCTCTTGGATAGTCATTTCTAAGAAGAATAGTGATTTTCTTTTCTAGATTTGTTAACTTCTTTTGTCAAGTTGTCTTTGGAAGCTGTTTGGCCCTTTGACTGGATGTGTCCCAGTTTTATAAGTCTGTTGTGGAGTAGCTAGAATTTCTGTTCATTCATTTTATTTTAATTTTGTTACCATGGATTTCCCATCTTTTGTAGGAAATAACACAAAGGGCAGATTGATCTATGTGTTTGCATGTTTTTAATAAAAAAAAATAGTGAAAGAAAATGCCATTTATTACAAAAGATGAAGTGATGTCATTTAGATATAATTGCCAGCAGTTCTCGGGGAAAGGAGTAAATGTGCCTTGATGTTCATTGTAGGAGAAGGAGCACAGTAAAGAACCCGATTCGAGTGTGAGCAAAGAGGTAGAAGATAAGGATGCACCGAGGACTGAGGAGGAAAGCAAAGTACAGCAAAATGGGAATTGCCAACCAAATGAAGAAAGTCTCGCTACCAAAACAGAAACAGTATAGGACCAACTGGTGTACCTCTCCTTTCAACGCTGAAACAAAATCCAAAGCTTTCTGTTCTCAACAAGATGTCAACAGGGAAGAAACCTAATTGAGACTAAAGTGGATACGAACAGTTTTTCTGGTCGTTAGGTGACATTGTGGGCATCTTGTTACTGAGTGTGGACATCCTGAAAATACCAGATGTTACCCAAACTCACCTTCTAAAGTCCATGCATTTCCATGGTGGCTGACAGACTTGTCACGTGGTTTATTAGTGTTTGCCAAGAAGCACTATGGATAAACTGAACATCAGAGATCCAGAATTGAACTATCCCTGAGGACTGGAGATAAGCATTGGAGGCTCTTAAAAATTCTAGTTACTGAATTTTGTATTGTTTTACTTTTTTAAGAAAAAATTCAATATATACAGTTTGATGATGTGCTTGAAATTTGTGCAGATATATACACACTCTTGTAAAGTGCAAAGTATGTAAGAAGTTTTAATATTTACTTCACAGGACTTACAGTGATTGTGGTAAATTCTCACTGTTGTGTTTTCTTCTGCTCACTGTTTCAGACATCAGTTTTTCTTTAAAATAGTTTCACAGATTAAAATTGCTTAAATAAGTGGATTAAAAAACCAACTGACAATGCATGCTACTGTTCTTTTTCAAAAGGAAGAGCAACTGTGTTGAATACTAATAACGTGTTAGTATTCAGTGTTTAGAATCATTGGGTCTACCCACAAAATAAGCATTTGCTTTGAACCTTGTTGACGTTTCTAAGCTTATGAATAATATTGCAGTGTGTCTTGTCAGCTGTAGGTGGCAAAGATGCCCTTATAAAAAGGAAACTGAGTTTTCAAAATGGGCTATGGGAGCACAAGCTGAAGCTTTAGTGCCTTCTACAATGTGGTATACTGTTTTCTAGAATTTTGTATGTGTTAGTCATTCTCAATCCATGTGGAATCTAGAGGATGTATTCTATTCACATCCATAGAGAAGCGTGGGAGTGGTATGCCAGAAGCGCTTCTTAATTCAGCAGGAAGTCCTGTTTCAGTGCAGTTTTGGGACCATCAGTTTTATACTGTGATAATTGGAGACATGCTCTTCTTCAAATCAAAGGAAACCTTTTATTTAGTTGACTACATTGGATGGCCTTAATTATTACCTCCCAAACATTTTCTCACACTGATGTACAGAAATTATACTGAAAGGGAGGACTAGGAGCATACGGGAGTGTGTTTTCATGTTCAGCAATAGCTTGAGTTTAAACTCTAGGTCATCCAACAGTCTTAGGCTCAGCTGTTGGCGGAACGTATGCAAGTAGTAAAGTGAGAGCACTGTTAATGTTTTTCCCCCAAACTAAATTCTAAGTAATGAACTCTTCATTATTGTTAATTTCCAAAAAGTTGTAGTTTTAATTAGCAAATGTTTTTTAAAAATCAAGTATAATTATTTTAATGCAACCTAATACAATCAAATTGCTCAGTTGCCTTACCTCATGGGAAGAGTTACTTTCTACAGATTTAAAAAACTGAGTAGCACTTTAGTTACTTGGTTTCAACTTGAGTTTTGTTTTAATGTTAATACTGTTGAAAGTTTAGAATTTGGTGAAGAATAGAAAGTCCTTTTTGCAGGTAATGAAGCCTGGTTTGATTATGGAGCTGCTTAATCATCTTTGTGTGTTCAGATTACTGTGTGTATGTGTGTTTTCTTTTTGTCATTATGTACATTAAAATTTTGGAAAATGCTTTACTATGTAAAGTATAGATGGTCATTTAATCATTTAGCCACATACGGTTGGCTGGTAAACAGCTTATTCTGATGCAAGAATGCTTGGGTACCTATGGAAACTTTGTGAAGGAGTGTCTCGCTTCAACAGCTGTCTTATTTATGATATGAAAGTAGAATCTTTGTTATTTTTTAGTACCATTTCTCTAATAAAGCTCGGTATTTTAGAGGAAAGAGTTTGTTTATGCATTTCAAAATGTATCTTAGCTTCATTCCATTCTTGTTTTGTTTGGCGTAGAGATTGTTTTGACATGGAGGATGCATGTTTGTGATGGGAATTAACATTTAATTTAATTCCTATTGCTGATTTTTTTTTTCATGCAGATGACGTTTATCTCAATCTTATTAGTGTTGAAAGGGTTTTAAAATCTGAGAACAAGTGGGAATATAAGAGAAAAGAAAATCCGATGATGTGCAATTTGGCATTTCCTCACACAGATAGGGCTCTTCTGGCCCTAGAGGGGTTGAGTGTGAGTCAGAGGCAAAGGCAAACCAGAGGCGTGTTTGCTCTCTGGTAACTTAGAGTTGATGCTGTTTTCGTTTACTTAGAGTTTATTTACTGTTGTTCTAGTAAGCTGCTTTGCTTTTTCCCTTAAGAACATTGCTTTTCATTCAAGGTAGATAATGACAGGAAAACCTGAGGTAAGATCAAGACAGAGCCGGTGGGAATGTCTTTCTCGACTTTTTAGACAGATTCTGACAGATTCTTTTCCACGTGCACACTGAGCTGGTAACTTAAGGTGGTGGTCCTTCATAACCACCAACCTGTTAAACTCATGTTAAAACTTAACAGTCCTTAAGTTCTGCAAGTATTGGCTTAGTTACTATCTCCTTTCTGATCTAGTTAACTTAGATTCAAGAACATTACTCAACCATTAACTTTGTTAACCACCCCATGTTTAGAATCCTTTTTTTGAACAGATGCAGTGTCTGTTATGTGTCAGTCTTCATGTTAGAGGCTTAAATGTTGTTATCAATTAAAAATAAAAACTTTACAAATCAAGATAGGTTGGGGGAGGCAAAGAATTTTTTTGTGATATTAATCATTTTCAGAACTTGTCATTCCTATATCTGTGTTATCTTCATTTTAAAATTGAAAATATTATCCACATCTGTTCTTAAACCCATGAGATTATTTGAAATTAAGGATAATAAAGTTTAGTAATAGGCTTTAAACATATTTTTATTCTACAGTATATTATAGATACAGAGTATGATTTCATTTGATTGAATTAGTAATTAAAATTGGTCATTTTGGAGGGATGTATTGAGTAACAGCATTTCATTGAATCATTTCTGACATTTTAATTAAAAGAGTATTGAGCTGAGTAGATTGTGAACTTCAGCTAAAGGTAAAGACCTGTGTTCTTTATGTGGTTAAATATGTCCCTAAATATTTTCTAATGTTTACTTACTAATATGATAGTCACTGGTTATTTTCACATTCTCAAATTTAGTGCTCTTAAAAAGACTCATATTTCTGGAAGCAGAATGTAATATAAGTGTAATAGAATAATCTTTTAAAATAAAACTGGCTTCCCTACTGCGTTGTGAATTTGTAGGTGAGTTTTTAATTGCTTTTTGTCTTTTGGTGTACGTTTAATAATGACTTTACCAGAAGAGTGACTGGTACACTATTTAAAGAATAAAAACTAAAGCCATTTATGACTTTTGGTCCATAGTCAGGTTAGTAATAGTAACTAATAGATCTCTTTACATTCAGTCTAGGAAACTTTAGTAGTTTCTAGAATTAATTTGTCTTATAGTTAATATAACTTTCTTGGTGTTGGGGATTGAACCCAGGGCCTTAGACATGCTAATATTCTGTCACTGAACTAAGTCTCCAGCTCCCAATTTGTTTATATTTAATATGTTTTCTCTTGGCATTGAGGATTGAACACATGGCCTCACACATGCCAGTTGAGCTGCAACCCAATCCCCAGTAAAACAGTATATTTTAAAAGTAGCTTTTTAGCCAGGTGTGGTGCATGCCTTTAATCCCAGCACTCGGGGCCAGCCTGGTCATATAGCCTGTTCCAGGCCAGCTGGGGCTACAGGGAAACACTATCCACCCCCCCCCAAACAAAAAAAACACCCAGAATTTTAAGTTTATATATAGCTAACATTTTGATTAGAGGATTGCCAATTTGGGAGCAATGACTATTTTACCTCGAAATTTTATCTTTCCAGGATTTGAATGAAGTAGTTCCCTTTATTCTTGATTAGTTTTTGTTTGCTAACAGGTAGATTCCTAATTATGTGCATTCAATTTCGTGAAACTCATGCTGAGAGATTTTTAGAATTCTACCAGTTTAAGGATTGGTAGGCAACACACAGTTGGGGAATAACCTAGAGAACCAGTTTGCATATAAGATTAAGCATACTGAAACTGTATAGGTGAGTTTAATGGTTAAGAAATTGCCCTCCTAATGAGTAGCTAGGACAGTGCTGTAGATTATCCAGGGGAAAGTTTCTAATATAAGCATGAAGCTACTGCATAGGTCTGTATTTGTGTGAGTAGAACTACGTTCACATGGTACTAGCAAAGATCAAATAAATGCTGCTATTATGTCACTATATTTTTAATAAAATGAAACTTAAAATCCATTGTTGAGTAGTACTTTTATCTATTTCTGGGACAGTTACTTGCATATTCATAGCTTGTCTGAAAGGTGGTAATTTGCTCTTTCAGAGTTCAAAGTTGCTCCCCAATACGGGATTTTGTGTTGGGCAATCCTGTTGTGTGGTGGTAACTAATCAAGGCTTTTCATATCAAGCCCTTTGTAGTAATGTGGTAGCTGCTTTGAGTTCCTTTTGTTACTGGCATTAACTTCCTGGGACATTTGTGTAATGAAAATTGTCATTGTCCATGTCTTAACAGGAAGTGAAATGCCTTCTGTACATTCTCTGTGAGATAAATGAGTCGTGTGCTTGGGGGTGGCCATTGAATGAGATGTCTGTTAGTCAAATTGCCTCTTTAAATAAACTGGGCCTGGAGAGATGGCTCAGCAGGTAAAGGTGTTTGCTGTTAAGCTTAATGACCTGAGTCCGATCATCAGGAGGACTCAGATGGTAGGAGGAGAGAACTGACTGACTCCCGCAAATTGTCATCTGTCCTCCACTTGCTTGATGTGACTTGTACTTGTGCATATACACACAGTGAACTCATTGTCAGATTTGTAGATTTGGATTTGGAATTGGGTATGACCTCATGGCTTGGCTTGCCTTGTCTGCGGTGAGTGGTCCATACTGATTTTGTGTGTAGGCTCCTCCCTATCTTAGCTGCCATCTCAGGTTTTAAAGGCCACAAGCCTTTTCAGTTTTTCAGTGTCAAATACACACACAGGAGTGAAGAGCCCATGCCTTTGCCTGTAGCGGACGTGGACTGCTTGTGTGTGTCCTTTCTCACAACTTCACGCAAATATGCCAAATTGCAACTGCTTTTGACAAAGATGTGAACTCTTAGGCTAGGTCATCATTGAAAAAAGTCCCCGAATCATAAGTATAATCTATTTTTCAGTAATTTTTTTTAACCTAGGCTAAAACAGCCTAAAATTCAGTGAAAAGAATAGCTAAGTCTTACACCACTTTTAGCCACAACATGCCTGTTAGTGGTGGTAAATGAGTTGGTTGCATTGGCATGCCCTCTCCTGCATTCTCCTGAACTCCAGTCTTCTCCAATTATCTGGCACAAAGAACTCATTGAATATTAGCTATTAGTACTGATACTTACTGGCATCATCACCTTTTTTCTTTTTCCCCAAACAAAGCAATTTATGATCCTGTGTGTTCCTGGGCTCTCTATTCACCAGCACTACCCTCTGGTCTAGTTCCTCGTTCTCACAATTTTTAACTTGATCCCACCCTCACCTTGGCTAAGTCATGTCATTTCTGGTTTCCTTTGGAAGGTTTAAAAAACCTCTGAGTCTTTAATTACTGAATTTTTGAAAATTTCATATAATATATTTTGATAGTGTTTAGATCTCTATCTGCCCTTACTACCTCCTGCCCAATTTTGTGTGTGTGTGTGTGTGTGTGTGTGTGTGTGTGTGTGTGTGTGTATACACA